GCTCTTCCCTCTGTTCTTTCTAAAAAGACATCCTTTTGGGTTTGTCAGGGTCTGAGTGCTGTGTTCTGGTGGCTTGGTATACTTCTCGAGGACCTTTTTTTAAAAAACTGCCATTTTAAAAGCCGATCCCACTATAAAAGAGCAAGAACAATTTTATGACTTTTTAATGTGTTTGTGAGCACGCATACATGGTGCCCTTTGTCACTTGGATACATGTATAATAGGGCTATCTATGTGCTATTCTGATAATCAGACTGCTTGGAGAGAGTCCAGAATTATGACCCAGCAGCTTCTCTGTCTTGAGGTAAATCAGATAGAGTGACTTGGGCAAAAATGAAGCAGAACTATCTCTAAAACTATTTGGTCATTGAAATGTGGTCATGAATTTGGGACAGTGATAGAAATGGAGTCATATTATTCATTTTACTATGAGAAGGACTACTACATATATGTAGATGCACATGCATATTTATAACTCAGTCGTGTAAATCCATGCAGAGAGGCTGGCTGAAGTCACACTTGGGGTACATAGTCATATTTCAGTCCTGTGTGGATGGAGCAGTAGAGGTCAGAGAGAAGTGATATTTTTAGACAGGCTCAGACTAACTTCAAACTCACCATTCTCTTGCCCAGACCTGCCCGAGCTAACATGCTCTGCTTCTGTGGCCTTTTCTGAGCTCTACCTTCCAATATACACATTTTATTTCCAGCTTGTCCTAGTTTGCTTTCATGGTGGTCTGAATGAGAATGGCCCCACAGGCTCATATAATTGAATGCTTGCCAACAGTTGGTGAACCATTTAGGAAGGATTAGGAGGTGTGGCTTGTTGGAAGAGGTGTGTCACTGTGGGTGGGCTTTGAGGTTTCAAAAGCCCATGCCATTCCCAGTCTCTCTCTCTCTGCCCAGTGCTTGTGTCTCAAGATGTAAGCTCTCAGTTCCTACCTCAGTGCATGGCTGCATGCCTACTGCCATGCTCCCAGCCATCATGGACTCTAATCCTCTGAAACTGTAAACCCCAAATGGACTCTTTCTCCTTTAAGTGGCCTCGGTCATGGTGTGTTCTCACAGCAACAGAAAAAGTAGTAAGACTTTTTTTTATTGCTGTGATATAACACGAAAAGTGTTTATTTGGCTTAGAGGTCCTAATCACAGTCCATTACTGAGGGAAGTCAGGGCAGGAACTCAAGGCAGGAACCTGGAGACAAGAAGGGAAACACGGAGGAGTGTTGGTTACTGGCTCACCCCCAGGCTCAGGTCCAGCCTATTTCTTCCCAGAGGTGGCCCATCCACAGTAAGCTAAACCCTCTCCCACATCAATCATTAGGCAAGAAAATTCCCCATAGACTTGCCTATAGGACAATCTGATGAGGCATTTTCTCAATTGAGAGTACTTCTTCCCAGATGACCCTAGTTTGTTTCAAGTTCATTAAAACAAACAAACAAACAAAAAACCCTTATCACTACACAGCTTTGTATACCCTGTCAGATGTGTGGGACTCAGTATACTGTGAAATTGTAAACTACGTAACTCACCCTTTGAGTTCTCAGACAGAATTGAATTTGTAGGTTTTCAAGACTGACTAGATTTTTTTTTTTTAACATACCCACCCCCCTTATGAAATCTTGGTGTTTTGTTTGTTTGCTGTTTTTGTTTGTTTGAAAGTCTGGCCACATAGCTGAGGCTGACCTTGAACTCAAGTCCCTGCTGTCTGAGGTTCTGTGTAATAGGATTGTAAGCATGCACCCCCACACCTGGCTCCCTTTTAAAGTGATATGCTATTAACTCCTTTTGAGCATGATTCATATGTTAGTCATCTTGGTGTGCCTAGCTCCTGGAAGTGTCTTGTCTAAAGCAGACATGTAAGCAAGGGCTGCTTGAAATACAGTAAGACAGATTAGACAATTCATTCAACCATTTGCCGGTTTAACAGGAATCAAAGGTGGGACCAGAGTGATGGCTCAGTGCTTAAGAGCATTTGTTGCTCTTCTAGAGATCTGGGTTCAATTCCCAGCATCCACATGGTGGCTCACGAGCATCTGTAATTCCAGTTCTAGAGGATCCAGCAACCTCTGGTCTCCATGGGCACCGAGTGTACATGGTGCACAGACATGCATGCGGGCAAGACACTCATACATACAAAATAAAATAATTTCTTTAAAAAAAGAATCAAAGAATGTGTTAGATAGAATACTCATCTGTAAGATTGTTTTGCTTAAATAACAGAGAGCTATGAATTAAAAATATGGCAAATCTGATGTTTTTGTAAAAACACTAATGACTTATATCTAATGAATGAGCAATAAAAATACTGATATTTACATTTGAGCCATGCATTTAAAGTCAATAATAATTAGGCATAATACCAATATATTTAGAAGGATGGTTAACAGGAAGTACAATTTTTAATGCTAACATAAATTATTTAAAACTAGCTTATAAAATGATTATTTTTTCAATATATATAAATTAAAGTACAGAATTACTCCATGTCATTGAGTACAAGTCTGAAGTTCCAGAATATTCACTCTGTCCATTGCTGTTGTACAAGGTTATAACTAGATCACAGAATGCTCTGTGTTTTCAGGTCAGTACAATCTCTTGTCAACATGAACTCCACTTTGCATGACCTCAAAGCACTAGGGAACTGCTGTCCTGCCCAGTGCTGATTAGAATAAATATCTGAAAGACACTAGCTGAACTTCCGGGGTCCCTTTCCACAGGCATTTGGTTTCGGTACCAACAACAAAATCGGCTCTTTAGGAAGACTATATTGTATGCTACCTGGTCATCAACTCACGCTTATCGGAGAAAGGCCTTGTTAATACAACGCAGCTGACATCAGCAGGTAACAGTTTAGGCAGAAACATTAGAGAGGCACTCATCAAACACGAGAATGAGGCGCAGTGGCTCATGCCTGAACTCCCAGCACCCAGGAGACAGAAGTCAAAGGACTGCCATGAATTTGAGGCCAACCCAGGCCAGAGTGAGTTCTAGGCCAGCCTGGGCCATAGAGTGAAATATTGTTTGTTTGTTTTTTTGAAGTAAATAAGTAATACTGGTATGAATTTAACAGCAGGTGTGCTCAACAGCAAATGGAAATGGTTCAGGTAAATTCAGCCAAAGGAGGGAGAATCAGGAAGCATCCCCAAGCTCCTGACAGCACATGGGCTGGACTCAGGAAGTGGGCCTAGCTCCTCACTCATGTGAGCGATACAGTTGCAAAGGTGAGGGTGACCATAAGCCCAGGACAGCTCGTGCCCAGGTTCCCCTTTCCAGGGAGAAGTGCCTGTGAGAGCAGTGAACCCATGGAGCCTCCTCACCACCTCTGCACATGCAAATGAGAAAATTCAGACCCCTCACGTTTCATTGATCTATATCCAGTTTCAATTGAAACAAAATGCTCTGGGCGCTTGATCACATAATGTATTCAGCTTATTCAGCAAGTATTTACTGAGCTCATCCACTATGGCAGATGCTGTTCAGCTGCCAGGACACAAGAAAGTGGCCAAACAGTTGGGGACCCGACCTTCATATGTGGTGACTGAAGCAAATACAGAAAAACACCCGGATAAAGTCCACAGTGTCGCCTGTAGGGCTGAGTGATATGGGGCGAACTTTAGCAGGAAGGAGCAGAGTGCCATCTCAGCTAGGTGACAGAGCAGGGACCGCCAGGAGGTGAGAGGTGCCAGGAAGTTACCTGGGAGAACTGTGCAGGGGACAGCAGCTGCCGGGCAGGAGTCACACTTGGGGCACACACACATTCACACCTACAACCTGTGGGGCTGGAACTCAGGGCACGAGAGAATGCTGCTGAAAAGGAGTTATGTAAAGTGAGGTGCCTGTGGATATTGGGATCCTGGGTTCAAAGTAAGCCCAGGCTAGGAATGAAAGTGTGTGTGTGTGTGTGTGTGTGTGTGTGTGTGTGTGTGTGTGTAGTGTGTGCATGTGTGCATGTATGTATAAGCATGTGTGTATATGGGATCCCTTCCCTTACACATGCATGCACATTAGTAAAAACGCTTCTGAAAGTGGAGTCCAAGGTCTGGGCCTCAGTATGGAGTCTAGGCAAAGTGGACAAGGAGAGAGCATAGAGTATCAGTTGCCGTGAGAAGAAAGCCAAGTGGGTTTCCAGAAGCCAAGTAAGAAAACTGCTCAGGAAGGAGGTGATGATGATCCTAGGCCACCAGGCTGTATTTTGTTTAGCAGAGAGGAAATCACCAGTGACTTTGCCTGAGCAAGGCCAAAGGAGTTCTAGAGAGAATGGAAGACACAGAATTCAATGACACCAAGGCCAACCAGTCACCTAGCTGGAGAGGAGCAGACACACCCCTTAGGCCCGGCTACCAGTCACATCCCTCAGGAGGCTGTAGGCCGTGGCTTCTTCCGCCTAAAGCTGCTTCTCCAGCCTTGTACATCATACAGTCGTTGGTAGTCTGTCCACACTTAAAATACTGGACGGTTTGAGTTCCCCAACACTTCATTTTCTTTTTATTATATATATATGTGTGTGTGTGTGTGTGTGTGTGTGTGTGTAGGTATGTGTGTGCAAATTGATTAAAATCTGAAAATATGGCCATTAGATTTTAAGTGAATTGGTTACATCCAAATTATTTTAAGTAACAAGTTAAATATCTTCCTGTGGTTGAAACAGTATGACATGTTTCAAAGTAATAGTATCTCTCTCTCTCTCTCTCTCTCTCTCTCTCTCTCTCTCTCTCTCTCTCTCTCTTGTTCTTCTTTTGAGATAGGGCTTTATGCAGTTGGCCTTGAGCTCACCACGTAACCAAGAATTCCTTTGAACTCTCCCCCTGGAGCTCTGGGCTTACAGTGGTGCATGTCATACCCAGCTTCTGATCTCTTTTTTAAAATTATTACTTCTAGAAATTTAGGCCTGGGGTAAATTTGTTTTCTAGACTCATAAGTCAGCACTGACAACTAAGTTCTCCCTCCTCCCTCCGTCCCCTCTCCTGTCTCTCTGCCTCCTGTACTCCCCGAGAAGATGGTACGAGAACAGTACACCACAGTCACGGAGGGCACCCACATCGAGCGGCCCGAGAACCAGCACGTCTACAAGATTGGGATTTACGGCTGGAGGAAACGCTGTCTCTACCTCTTCGTTCTTCTCCTGCTCGCCACCCTGGTTGTGAATCTCGCTCTCACGATCTGGATTCTGAAAGTGATGTGGTTTTCTCCAGTGAGTATCGCCTTTGCCTGAGCATGCTCCAGATGTACTGGATTACTGTCTTAATAGTGCGTGGATAGAGGTTTGCTGTCTTCATCAGGATTGTCAGGAGATAATGGCATCATCCTCTGACTCATTGTAAACTATAGGGTGCTGATTTTTTGGTCCTTATTGCCTTGTATTTTTCATTAATCATTATCTCTGTAGGGTAGGAAAATTCTAATCTTGAATTTGTGGTTGATTGTGTCAAGATGTCTTAGTGGTCACTTGTAGAATATGTCTATAGGACTATATAAATCAGTTTCCTAATGTTGTCAATCCTATATGTTTAGCATTTGTACACTTGCTCTCATCTAATTAAATTAGCAGAATAAAATATCTGAGGCGGGTATATGTTTGCTTTTAAAGAAGAGAATTTTTGTTTTTCATTTAGTTTTTTAGTTTGTTTCCTTTATTCTTGGTAATTTTATGCATGTATACATTAAAATACAATCGTGTTTACCCCCATTTCCCCCTCCAATTCTCCCCATATCTCTCTTAACAGATCCAACTCCCAATTTTATGTCATTCTTTTTATAACTAATTCCAATGAGTGCTGTGCGCATGTGCCAGGGTGTGGGGCCGTCCACCGGAGCATGGGAAATCTAGCTACCAATGGCCACATCCTAAGAAAAGTGATTCTCTCTCCCTCTGCAGTTATCCACTGCCATAGCTCCCCGGTAAGGGCTGTGGCCCAGAGTTCATCTACCCATCCATGCCAGAATTTGGACTGGCTTGGTCTTGAGAAGGTAACCGCAGCTGCTGAGAGGTCCTGAGTGCACCCACCCATGCCCCAGAGAACTTTCACGGCTCTCCTCCCCATCCTCCAGCTCTTATATTCTTCCTGCCACCCATTCCCTGAAGGTCCCCAAGCCTTTTGGGGAGGGACTTTATAGAGATGGCCCATTGGGAGCTGATTGACTCAATATAAAAAAGTGGTTTGTTTGGCTCACACGTTTGTAGAGTTAAGGACTCAGGTTCAGCTCTGATGGGAACCTCAAGGTGCCTGGTGGGAATGTAAGAATTCGTGTGTCGGGAAGAATCACAGCAGCAGGGCAAAAGCCAGCCAGACCGAGTGGGACCCAGCTGGGGCTTCTGTCACCCCTCTCCTATGAGAACTAACCAGGGCCTCCAGACAAATATTGCAGGTACAGGTTGCCATTGACCCAAGGGCCTTCCATGTGGACCCACTCCTTAAAAGTCCGAAAAACTGCCACCCCAATTGTCAAGCTGCTAACACAGGAGCCCTTGGAGCAGTGGTTCACAACTTTCCTAATCCTGTGACCCTTTAATATATTTCCTTACGTTGTGGCGACCCCCATCCATAAAATTACTTTTTTTGCTACTTCCTAACTAATTTTGCTACTGTTATGAATCTTACTGTAAATATCTGATATTTCTGATGGTCTTAGGTGACCCCTGTGAAAGGATTGTTCATCCCCCAAGGGGTTGCAATCCACAGGTTGAGAACCACTTTCTTGGAGGGACACACTTAAACCACGCCCAAGCCAGAGCAATGCAACATTTGCATATTTTAAACACTCTGATCTGATATGTGGGAAAACACTTCAATATTCACAACAGAGTTAGTAAATAAAATACCATTAGTCTTAAAGAATGTATTCTATTCTGAACATTTGCATACACTAAAAAATAATTGCATGATGTTATTTGCCTTGATACTTTATTACACTTCGTTTATTTTGTGGTACTGGGAGTAGAACACAGGGCCTTTTTGCTTGTTGGGCAAGTGTTCTACCATTTAGCTATGTCCCAAGAAGTCCTTGTTTTGTGCATTTGGGGATGGGATTCTAAAAATTAATGTAGAATACATTAATTTGGCAAGAGAGATCCAATGAGATAAAAATACTACTGCCAGGAACTTCACAGTTTAGTCATTATGTTTTTCCCAGGCAGCTGAGGGTGTGATGTGTGCCCAGGCTCTTTCTAAGAATGATAGCTTTAGTCTGAGGTTTAGTGTGAAATGCACTCAATGAATCCTGCATTTTCTGCATCCTTATTTCTGTCCTGCCATGATTCTCAATACCATTACTCTTGTCATATAATAAACATTTGTATTTCCACATATTCTGGTAAAATACTCATAAAAATTAAATTATAGCTTGAAAAACATTATTGAATAATTTAGTATAGAATACTATAAGTGTATTTACTATAAATATACTGTAAATTATTACTATAAATAATATGTAAGTAGAGGTTACAAATATGAGTGTGTTTAATATTAGGCAATATAGAATATAATTTATGGGTCAGAATTTATAATGATAATATTTCTGTAGCAGTATGATGGTACTAGTACCAATGCCCAGCATTTCTTCATGAAGATAGGACATCTGGACATATATCAGTTACTTTTCTGTTACTGTGATAAGACACCCTGACCAAGGCAACTTATGGAAGAGTCATAGCCACAGTCTAACTTCAGCTAGCCACAGAGCACTGAAGGTTGCTTTAAATGCTATCGTACACAGCAAAGCCTACACCAGATGCACAATATCATGTCACAGTCATGCAGTTTATAGAACTCATTTGTACAGATTTCTAAGACAACGCAATCTCAGACAAAGAAGACAGCAGTGACTTCAGGTCCCCCTCATGCAAGGCACAGCCTACACTCTCGGCCACAGTTGATATATGAGATGGTTTTCCTCCTTCAGGAATTTGTTACTGACAGTGTGTGTGTGCAGACTCTCTAGTGCTGATCTTATTGACAGTGTGTGTGTGCAGGCTCTCTAGTGCTGATCTTACTGACTGTGTGTGCAGACTCTCTAGTGCTGATCTTACTGACTGTGTGTGTGTGCAGACTCTCTAGTGCTGATCTTACTGACTGTGTGTGCAGACTCTCTAGTGCTGATCTTACTGACTGTGTGTGCAGACTCTCTAGTGCTGATCTTACTGACTGTGTGTGTGTTCAGGCTCTCTAGTGCTGATCTTACTGACTGTGTGTGTGTTCAGGCTCTCTAGTGCTGATCTTACTGACTGTGTGTGCAGACTCTCTAGTGCTGATCTTACTGACTGTGTGTGTGTTCAGGCTCTCTAGTGCTGATCTTACTGACTGTGTGTGTGTTCAGGCTCTCTAGTGCTGATCTTAACAGAATGAGATATCCTACCATTCACATTTGAATGCCTCAAAAGGCAAGAAATACAAAGCCCTAATCCACAAAAGGTGCTGGGCCCTCACCCAGAGGTGTTGAGTATCTCCTGGCCTGTGTACCTGCAGTGGAGTAACATTCACCACACAGCTTGTATGGGTGTAAGCTTGAGGCTTTGCTTTGAAAACATCATAGCTTTGAGACTACAAATTGTTTTCTAATTCATGCTTTAATTTTTTCTGTTTCGAAAAATCTTAACATATAGTATTTCTGCTTTTTAAATTTCATTTGGTTGTGGTAAGAAATAGCAGATCTACTCATGAAATTTGTAGGTGTAAAATAGAGTATCATTAACAATAGATGTGTTTTGATTCAGCACCTCTGTAGGCTTTGTTCATGTTGGCAACCTGAAAATTTATGGATATTTATTAAGCAGTCCATTTCCAAGTCCTCAGCCCCTGTAAAGACAATTGCAGTGCTGAATCTCTTGAGTGTGACTGTACAGAGATCTCATTCATATGTGATGGTCACACCACATGTGTCCTTTTGTGTCTCCTGGATGTGTAGTTTGTTTCTACATCTTTGCCACTCTGAGTGTTGCTAAAACTAACATGAGTGCACAGACAACACCCCTACATCCTAAGTTCTACTCTTTTTAATAAATGACAACCTACCTGAAAAAGAAATCAGAAAACAACCTTATTTTCAGTGGCATCAGAAAGAATAAAATATCCAGTGAAAAACCAAGGAGGTAAAAACTTGTTCATGGCAATTGTAAAACATCGATGAAAGAAAATTTAAAAGATACAAACAGATAGGGAGGAAATCATAGGTCACATTCACGGGTTAAATAATTTAATACACATGGGGCCTGGAATGTTGGCGAGCACCTGGTGTCCCATCACCAGAAGGTGGAGGCAATGCAGGGAAACCCGAGTATTCACATTCCCAAGAATGAAAAAGAACCCATGCTTTACACCACACACACAGAAGTCATCACACGCACATTAAAGACTTAAGACTAAGGCTTGTAACTGCCAACCTCCTCGGTGTGTCAGGGGATTAATAGGAAAGACTGATGACTGCCTTAGCAATGATTCCTTGTGAATGATCCTGAAAACATTAAAAAATCAATAATAGACAAATAGGACTGTATAAATTTAAAAGCTTTTGCATATTTACATCCATACATACGATAAAGATAAATTCTAAAATATATGAATGATTCTGGCAACTTGATAGCAGAAGCATTAACAAACCAATTTTGAGAATGGGCACAGGCCTGGTAGATAATTCTCCAAAGAAGCTACAAATGGCTAGTAGAATATGAAAAGTTTCTCAATCACTAATTGACAGAAAAACACCAATTACAACCACAGTAAGAGAACACTTCACATCTATCAGGATGACTATTGTCCTGATACAAAACAAAGAACAATTTTGTCCAGATTTTTTTTAAAAAGAACTTTCTTTTGGCAAGAATATGGAGAAATTGGAGCTCTGAAACATGGTTGGTGGGTGTGTAAACTGGTGCAGGCACTCTGGCAAGCATTTCACAGGCCATTAAGAGTTACAAACCTAACTACCGCATGACCCAGCAGTCGTGTGGTAGCTTACCCAAGTGAATGGAAATTTACCCAAATGAATGGAAATTTCTTTTTATTATTATTATTTTATCCATACATAAGCCAATATCCCTTCCTTATTAGGGTGATTAGTTCATTCCCAGCATCATTTGGGTAGGTACTCCCCCTACCCCTGCCCACGAATTCTCTTTATTAAATTCTATTTCTTATCTCAGCTTCCTTATTTTACTCATCTCTTGGTTTTGTTCTCTAGGAGTATATTCATGTTCCT